GTTGCAGTTTCCTCAAAATTCTGCACCCAAAACATCTATAAAGCTGCTAATTGAGATGGTTCAGCCTCACAGATTATCTAGCCAAGACTTCAGATAAGCTCTATACTGTCCCATCACACAGACACTAAACAAACAAATAAAAACCCAGCTAGCTCTTCCATTAATTGATCATTATCCCAATTTTCTCAGGATTCCCTAGAAATGTCATGATCCCTAGACAACCAGAGAGAGTCTAGAGGACATGATGTGTCTATTCCCAGCATGTAGGGTCAGAGGTTTTTGGGTTGTTTGATGAATGTGAATCATCTTTTAGGAGGGTTGGTTACAAGTTGTTGTTCATTAAGGTCAAGAAGAAAGCTGAGCATAGGAGATTAAATTTAGAAATCTTGTCTGAAAAGAAGAAGAGGGGATACAGAAAAGGTGGAATAAAAGGGTAGATTATTGAATTTACTTTAAATTAAAAATGCAACTAGTAGTCTTCAATATTTTACATTGGTATTGACTTTTCTATATTGAGACAATTTTAAAGTTATTTTTGTTATACTCTATGTATGTTTCTATTCTTGTTTAAGGCATTGTATCTATGCAAACCATTTAAAATGTAAATTTCTAGTCCTTGAAAGTTACTATCACAAACAATTTAGGCTAATTTAAAAATACATGTTAGTAGTTAAATCATCTAACAATCAAATTTGTGGCCAAGTTAGGTATGTTTTCAAGGTCAAACAGAGATATATTCTAGATGAACATATGAACTTCATACATTTCAGAGACCTAAGAATGTGACCTTTAAAATGTTTTAATAAGGTAATGCTTTTCTTGACAGTGGGACTCATCTGTTCCTAGAAGCACCAATTTACAAACAAAGGATGGTGGGAGTCTAAGGACCTCCACATGGAGTTCATTTTCTTTGTGGCAAATTTAGCACCTGTGCAAGAAATTGCTCTTTCCTCAACTGCTGACAGTATTCTGTCCAAATCAGGCAAGCAAGACACAAAAGAAAGTGACTGCTAAACTTTGTCAGATAGTCCTTCAAAATCCCCTCTTCACTTGAGAAGTCTGTCAAATATTCTAGGTACATAGGCCAATGACAGATGCACAATAATGCAGAGGAAATTTGAGTGATTGTCCACACAGCCAGCTGTTTCTGTCATTTCTACAGTTTTGAAAGTTGCTTGCTCTGAACTTTCTGTTTACTCAGGTAATATATCCTTTTTGGGGTTTTGAGGAGAAGGATGACACCAGGAGACCAAGGGCCTCAGAATCTACTAAGCAAAAATCACATGAACTCACAGATAGTGAAAAGGCAACCATGGGGCCTGCACGGGTCTGCATCAGGTTCTCTGCATATTTTTCAGCTTTCAGCTTAGTATCTTTATGGACTCCTGACTTTGTGAAGTAGTGGATCTCTGATTCCTGTGTCTGCTCTTGGGTTTTTTCCTTCTGTAGTTTTGTCTTGTCCAAATTCAATGTGATGTTTTTATGTTTTTTTTTTTTTTTGTGTGTGTGTGTGTTACCTTAAGTATACTGTTTTGTTAAAAAATGTTTAACAAAATAAAAGAAGGTAAAAACTCTTTAAAGTATAACAACAAAATAAAACAGTAATTGAAAGAAGTAAAATGTGAGAATTTTTAAATCATGAACATTCACATATTCTTTCCATTGTCTTAACAACCATGAATCAGATGCACTTTGCAGAGAGACCTTTTGTGAAAAAAAAAAGGGTTTTTTTTTTTTTTTTTTTTTTTTTTTTTTTTTTTTTTTTACAAAATTACTGTGTTCTCCAACCCTGCCTGCTTTAAGAATAATGCTAATTTCCCACAGTTAGATAATCTAGATTTATAATAATGAACATTATGATATTGTATTGCATGTGGAATTTATATGAGAGAAATGAACATAAAAATCAAAGTGGGCCATCAGGGTGTTTGAAAGATTGATGATAAATCTTCATTGTCAAATCCACTGTATCTTTAATTACAGAAGAGACACACCTCTAACAATGTTTAAGAAGAGATTAAAATAAAAGAGTGTGAGAAAAGTAAACATTACAATTGGGGTTGTTTCTAATACTTATGACTTTCCTTACAAATAGAAATATAAATTATATTGTTAGAAGCTAGCATATGTTATAATATGGTCATGACAATATCACATATACTATTTAAATAATGATAGTAACAACAATAATATGTTGCCTCCAGGAGCTTATTTTGCCAACTTAAAAATCTAGTTTTTGTAAAAATAACAATAACTCTGGATATCATTTCTCCATGAATGTTACCACTATGAAATAATTTTATAACAGGGTAAGATTCTTAGGTAATGGTCCTAAGAAGAGCACAATATAGAGACAGATTTATAAGTAAAACTGTCTTTCATATTTATTGCAGGTCACAAATTTGACCAAGTAGCACTGGCTGCCATTGGAAAGATGAAGGTAAATTATATGTCCCTGTGTGTTTTCTTTAGTAGGTTTCCTACATGATACATTTATTTTATTTTATTTATTTTGGTTTTTTCGAGACAAGGTTTCTCTGTATTGCTTTGGAGCCTGGCCTGGAAATTGCTCTGTAGACCAGACTTGTCTCAAACTCACAGAGTGCCTCCTGCCTCCTGCCTCCTGCCTCCTGCCTCCTGCCTCCTGCCTCCTGCCCCCTGCCCCCTGCCTCCTGCCTCCACCTCTGCCTCTGCCACCCGAGTGATGGGATTAAAGTGTGCCACCACCACTCTGCTCTTACAATCTTTCTTGAATAGTAACTGTATTTCAAGACTCTTTCTTACAATTGGTGAAATGAATGTAATGGAGGAAAAATGATAATTCTCTTCACAAAGTTAAATTTGACAATTCTATGTGTATATTTTGTCTAGATTTGCCCATTCTCATTTGGGAAAAAATGTTAAATACAGTAAATTCTCATTATATCCTGTAGTTGTATTCTATAATGTTTCTTTAAGAACTGAGTTAGCAAATATTGAATAATTGTTCCTAGGAGAAATGCAAGGCTACTTTCCTGTGAGTTTCTGTTCATAACAATTTTATCAAGCACTCAATATATTACTTTCTTTTAGGTGTGCTTCTTTAATATATAACTGCTGTATTAAGATTGAACTCATAGTCAATAGTACTTTAACTCAAGCCCGAGAAAACTTATCTAAAATGTGACATTATTTTTCCATAAGGCACATAGCTCCCTTCCTTTTCTTAAAACAATGGCCAACAGTTTACTCCTATGCTTCTGGGAAATTTTAGACAATTCAATCATCAATGAAAGACATAAAATTTATTTCAGAAATACTAGACAGAACAACAACTAAATCATTTATTGTATGAAACCTTACACAGAAGAACATAGAGTTTTCCTGTCTCATGTCAGCTGTGAAGGTAGCTTACCTCAGGCAAAATGGAAGGCATTGAAGATTATTTCCTTATGTCTTTACGAAACCATAATACATGTGGGCCTTGTTACAAATAATTCTGTACACAAACACGCACAGAGAGGTTACTCATGTAGAGTAAGGATGAAAAGACTGTATGGAAATTAAATGAAAGAAAAGATATACCCACATTGACTGTTGTGGGCAAAAAAAAAAATCTTCCCACTTATTGCATTTGAAATCCACTCCACAGGGAGGCAAGTGGATGACCCATAGCTCGAACTGTGTGCTCAGGTTTGAGGAAGTAACAGGCCCATGAGGGGAGCTCATTACTGATGGTTATTAAACTACAATAGCCACAGAGTATCTTCTAAATATGTATAGTTATATCCATAATAAAAAATCTTCCAGCCAGAATTAGAGGAGCATGTTTTTACATTAAGTAGTGGTGAATACAGAGATATGGCTATGCCAAGATGCAGAGTAAGCAATGGATGTTGATTTAGCTCTAAACAAGATATTTATTCCATCCCATCTAGATCTCAGGGAACATTATCAGACAGATCATAGGAAGTATGTAAGGCTCTGAAGATAGGGAAAATCTATAGAATGATTTAAACATTCAAATTTTGGGGTATTGTGCATATTGTGTCCCAAAAATTAACCTCATATGTATTATAGCACTGTCTTGGAGATACCATAAACAATTTAGGAAGGGTTTCATAGTCACAGAATTGATAAAAGATAAGTATTCACCCCATTGGCTCTAGACTATTTTGAATATTTAACTTTGCCATCTCTAAAATGTTCTCATTTATCATTTTTCTGTCAATCTAATTTTCAATGCCTGAACTTGGAGATGACATGGAACATAAAAGTTGTTGAATATTTTAAAGATTTTTGTGTGTTCTTTCTTCCTTTCTTTCTCCTCCTTTCTCTCTTTCCTTCTTTCTTTCTTCCTCTTTGTGAGTGTATGCATGTACTTATATCCCACATGAATGTGGGTATGCTTGGATGCCAGATGAATGTTAGATGACCTCGAGATGAAATTACAGGGTGCTGTTAGATGAAATTACAGGTGTCTGATGTGTGTCCTGGGAACTGATTTTGAGTCCTGAAATGTCAGTAAGTATTCTTATCTATATTTTTGGTTGTGAGCCTAGCCTTTAACAACTGAGCTACCGCTAGAGGCTGAGTATTCTTATCTAATAAACCTTTTATCCAGCTCTAAATAAAATTATATGAAGTTCTTTTGTAAACCCGTTTATTTATTTATTCATTTATTATTTGTTATGCCATATTAGAACAAGTATCCTGTGTGTTCTGTTATACATGTTGACATAAGTGGAGAGCCTGGCACCACTTCTTTCCCGTACTAGGAAAGAAAACAGCATGAACACTTACTTAGTGCTTTATCAATTAATTTTACAGGTGACTGCTTGACCTGGCCAAAGAAGATTTTTAAGAAAATAAAAACCACCAAGACTAAAGCCGTAGACTATTGAGCCTACAAAACAAAACAAAGCAACAATTGCAACCCAAGAAAAGAAAAGCAATGAAAACATCATTTCCTTTGATCTAATGATAATTTGTAGCAATTACACAATGAAATGTATTGTTACCTCTGCTTCTTAATGGATGTCTTTCAGAAGTGATTATCTTTTGCTGAAAAACAATTGACATGAGATTTTTCTAAAACACCCTTATAATATACTACAAACAGAGAAATGTTAATTGGGCTAAATAGCAATAGAGTTATTTAAACAAAGACTTATCTTTCTTTACCTTTGCCAATATAATAAAACAGGCATTTAGAATGTATACAGAATTACAGGTTAGCAATCTGTATTGTTTTAGAGCTTTTAAAATATAAACATATTAAAATAAAAACTTAAAATATAAAAAATATAACCAATATTTTAGGGAACACTGCACCTAAATTATAACAATTAATGACAAACTTATGAATAATTAAGTATTCAATATTTAATCATAATAAAGGCAAAGTTTTGATAGGATCATTAAAATTTAATCTCGACACCATCTTCCATTGATTCACATTTCAATTCATTTGCAGAAACATAAAGAGTAAATTAGTGATTATCTTAGGCTAATGAGAACACTATTATTTTTCTTATTGATTTAAGAGTGGTAATAGGAAATGGGTGTCTGACTTGCCAACTGACAATTCCATATATCATACTCAAGGCTTAAAGGGAGTAAACTGTGACACAAATACATAAAACAAAACCATTAGAGAAGACTATGTGGTTGTTTTATTTTGCTAATCAGAAAGGGAAACTAGTTTAAATGATTCATATTGAAAAGATAAAACACAGCTAACACAGAAACTGACCCGTTTCAGTTTTAATTGTAGGGATTTTCCATCAACTGTTAGCCATCCAGTTGCAGCATTAGAGGACTCTTTCTAACTCTTGTCCAGTACTGTCCATACACCTGCAAATAGAAGGTTCATGAATGCCTTCCCTCATCTCTCACTTGAGGTTTACTTTGTCAAGAAGACTGGCTGAATTTCACAATTATATCTGGTAGCTTTGGATGGGACAAAAGAAATTACTGATATAATTGCTCATAACGTTTTTTTCCTCTGAGACTCAGCTGCATGGGGGGGGGAAGCATTTTTATTTTGTTTGTTTATTTGTTTTCTGTCTTTACTTTTGTTTTGTTTATTTTGCCTTTGTTTTTTTCTGTGTGTATGTGTGTGCATGTGTGAACATGGTGAACAGGATTTTGAAAAGTTTCAGATGTAGGTCTTTTCCCATTTATTAAAAAAAATTCCAAATGTGTACATTTATGGACCCATAACTAAAACAGAAATAAGATTAAAAAAATAAAAAAACTGACTTAAAAAAATAGATTCTTCTTTCATGCAATACATCCTGGCCACAGTTTCCCCTCCCTGCACTCCTCCCAGCTATTCCCCCCAAGCTCCTTTCTTCCCAAGATCTACTCATCCTTCATTTTCTCTTAAAAAAAAAATTGCAGACCAACAAGAGACAGCAAGTAAGCAGGAGTAAAACAAGATACAATAAGACAAGATAAAAGCCCTCATAATGGCCAGGCGTTGGTGGCTCACACCTTTAATCCCAGCACTCGGGAGGCAGAGGCAGGTGGATCTCTGTGAGTTCGAGGCCATCCTGGTCTCCAGAGCTAGTGCCAGGATAGGCTCCAAAGCTACACAGAGAACACCTGTCTCGGAAAAAAACAAAACAAAACAAAACAAAAAACAAAACAAAACAAAACAAAAAAAAAAAAAAAAAAAAAAAAAAAAAAAAAAAAAAAAAACAGCCCTCGTAATGAGGCAGCCAAATAAGAGGAAAAGATTTTCGAGAGCCAAGATGAAAATTTCCACTGTAGGAGGTCCAGGGAAACACCACAGCCATCACAAATATGCAGAAAACCTACAGACCCCTGAAGGGCTGGGCTTGATGCTTCAGTCTCTGTGAGTCCCTGTCTTCGCTGCTTAGTTTGGAATGGGATTGCTCCTGGTGTTCTCCATCACCTCTGATTCCTAGAAGCGTCCCTCCCTATCATCTTTCTGGTTTCCTGATCCCCAATAATTTCATATTAATGTGAACATTTATGAAACCATGAAACTCTTCAATGTTTTTCAAATATCTTCTGTTTTTCATAATGTGATCGTAACTCATCACATCAAAACACATCAAAATTATATAATGAAGAATTTTTCCATAAAATTTTTGGAATCCTTATTTTTATAAAATTTACAATTAGAACAAATTCAACTATGTTTTCTTTACATGGCCTTGTATAAATGTTCATTTTTTGAGAGCGCAAGTTTATCTTTTAATATAAAAGAGAACATGTTCTAATTAATCTCCTACCTACAGCCTTTTCTATACAAATTAAGTGAAAATACAATTTGAAAGGAGATTTCCTAAAATAAAAGCATGTACAAAAACAAATAAAACACAAAATATCTTATTCCCTCCACCCCACCCCATCCCTTAATCACAAACTCATTTTAATATAAATTTTTTTTAAATTAGAAACAATCTTATTTTACATAACAATCCTAGTTCCCTCTCCCTCCCCTCCTCCCACGGCCTCCACCAACTCCCCCATTCCTCACCTGATCCACTCCCCAGGGAGGGTGAGGCCTTCCATGGGGGATCATCAAAGTCTGTCACTTCATTTGGGGCAAAGTCCTGTATAATTATTAATAATTGCATATAGATTATATATATTAGTATTTCATCAAACATACAATTTTCCACATATATAGCATGCATTCAGACAACGTAATTCAACATAAAGTTTCTATAGAACTACGAGTTCTTACCACCCACAGTAACACTGAAATTTTGTTTATAAACCTTGTAGTTACCTTAGAGACAATATTGAATTGTAAAATATTTTAGTATATAAAGAAAACCATTTGTCAACTTGTAATTGACATAATCAAAATTTTTGGCATTGGGGTAAATGGCACAATCTGCTCATATATTAATGTGTTAATGGAATTTTATTATAGATTAGAAGCAGGTGTATAAACAGACAAATTATTAGTTGACTTCTGCTGCAGTATCACTATGTAATAAATTGGACTTTAATTTTTCTTTTTCTTAGAAAGGCTTAGTTACATAAAAATAATAATGTCGATTTATGGATTATAACTGAGGACAATTAGAAATAGCAGTGTTGTTATTTTATATTTATTTTTTATTACATGCTTAACACTAGCTCAAGCTGGTGTCATCAGTTTTTGAGTTCTAGTAAGTTTTGTTATTTTTTATCTGATTGTGGCTAAAGAACATGAGTACATTGACAATTGTGTCTGCAAAACAGTACAAAGTTATTTTCCCATATATGAATAAAATTTCAGCATTTAACTTCAATTGCTTTACTCATATCTTAACTTATAATTTCCAGTAAATGAAGAGCTAAAATAATTGAGTCCACCACAAATTCATATAAAGCGCCTCTACTACCCAATGTTTAGGTAGCTGGAATTGAGGCTACCATAACTAGTTAACAGTAGATAAAATTATGAGTGTGTAGCCTCTCTGATGAAATTAATAACTTTATGAGAAAGGAAAGATATATGAGCCCTCTCTGTTTTTCACTCCATTACTCTAGGATTACAGAAGATGCTGAGAAGCCTGGAATGGATACTTCAATTGTAACTAAATTGCCAGCCACAGTAATTTTTAACCTTCTCAGAAGCCAGGACTGTGAGGCTAATCATATGCTGCTTAAAACATCCTGGCTAATGTATTTTGTTACTTCAATCAGAGCACAGAGACCATGTACATACTAGTGTTTGATATCACCACTGCTTTTTCTGAGTTGGACAAAATTTAATCCTTTTTTTGTTGTTGTTCTGAGTATAAATGATATGAGCACCTAATGTTGCAGATAAAACACTGCTTCTATCTCAGCACTCAAGAAGTTCCAATACAAAGGCAAATGAAGGAGGTTATGAAATAAATTTCACCATGTATACTTGAAGAAAAGGTCAAGAAATAAACCAAGGTACATGGCAATATTTCTTTCTTCAAATCCCATTGTGTGTAATCTTGTATGCGTGGAAGTATACAGAATACAAATTTACCTATTGTGTTGCAGGTTTTCTGTGGATAGTTGAACAGCAAGCATTATACTGGATCTGGTGAACACTCTCAGTGTAATAATATACCCTGCGATGGAGATATGCATAGGGATTTACTTAATCCATAATGTTTTTGGTTACTGTATGTGTCAATGTATGTGATCATCCCTCCTAGAAAACTAAATACCCCAATCTTACTAAAAAAAGAGAAAAGAGAAGTAGAATAATTCTTCAAGGAATATGAGCAAGGATATTCATATATATATATGCAAACTATGTCAACTTAAAATATTTTCTACTAATCACCTATACTCATAGGGCTTATGGATGACTTTGGAGTTCTTCATATTTAATGAAGGACTCCTGAAAACTGTAAGCAAAATGATATTAACACAATGTGCAATACTGAGAAAAAATAAGGTAGATGATGAGGGTAGACATATACACACATTTAAAGATAAAATACTTCAAAGTAAAATCAGTCAATAACAAAGGAGACAAAGGAAATTAAGGATGGCAGAGTGGTGGTGGCACATGTCTATAATCCCAGCAGTCATAGTCAGACAGAGGTGGTACTCTGGATCATTGTTAGTGGAAGTGTAGTGTAAAAACATGGAATAGAGAACATGATAACAAAAACATTGTAAACAACTTATTTCATTTAGTCTAATGTAAAAATAAGAGGATAAAAAGGAAAATTCTAATTGACACACACTATGACATCAAGATTAAAGTCTAAAATCATATAAATATTAGGAGAATTTTAAATTAGTCAGTAAAAGTTTTTAAAACAATTCATGCTGTACTTCCTAACAAGACTATCATCTTACAAATTTGTGAAACATTGTCTATAAAAATGCTATGTGCAAACATTCCAAGTCCATTATATGGTTTAGAGAGAGTTGCTCTTTAGAATTCACTTACCTAATCCATCAGTTAAGGTCTGTAGGAAATTAATTATTCTTTGTCCTACGAAGGCAACAGTAGATTACAAAATGAAAATAAAAGTTAACATATTCTGATAGTGACAATAGACACAATACATGAGAAAATATAGATACCTAATTGCAAAACATAAGAAATAATAAAGATAAGGAAATATGGAGACAGTATTTGTTTCAGAGAAATTATCATATTAGACATTATATGAAGAAGACATGTCAGAGAATATGCTTCTGGATAAAAGATAAAAATATATGAGAAATTTAATAATACAGTGTTTGGGGTTTAAAAAAAAAAAAAAAAGACTGGAGCCTTCCTTACTGCTGGGCATTTTGTGAAATGCCGGAATATACTATATAGGCTACCAGGGAAGTAAGACTTGAACAGTGTTCCCCAGCCATGGACCCTATAGTTGGGTGCATTTCTGATACTAACTACCCTGTGAAAGAGGCATGTATCTATACAGCAAAGTGGTGCATCTTGCATATTCAAAGTGGAAGAAGAAGCTAGAAATGAAATATTAGAGACAAAATATCTGAGATCCAATAACTATGAGAACATGATATGCTGGATTGACTATAGAAGTAAAGACTTCTAGAAACCATAAGTTATACAGAAAGCAAAAAAAGAGTCTTATATGGGTATATTATTTTTATCACAATTCCTACACAATTAAGAGAGTGAAGAGGTTTAGAGGCCACTGGGAAAGCTTGGTGTGGTAATACACACCTGTAATATCACTGTATCACAGAGAATTTAGTGAGAAGATCATAAGATCAAGTTAAACACCTACATAGGAGACTACACTTTGGAAGGAAGCAAAATAAAACAGCAAAACAAATGAAAGATACTGCTGCAAATTTTAGACAAGATAAAATATCATAGGTAAAGCAAAACAGACATATTCTGGGTTTTTGAAGATATTATTCTCAGAAATGGACTGGAAATAGAATACAAAAATAATGTTATTAAGGTTAGCAGCAAAACATTTTCAAGGAATACCTAAATTACCTAAAATGCTCTTCCCCTATAATGAGACTGATGACTACCTTATATGCCATTCTAGAGCCTTCATCCAGTGGCTGATGGAAGCAGAGTCAGACACCCACAGCTAAACACTGACATGTACCCTGGAACCCAGTTGCAGAGAAGGAGAAGTGATGAGCAAAGAGGTCAACACTAGGCTGGGGAACATAGTTAGGATGTGCAATGGCAGATTATGGTATCTTCTTTTATTTCACCTTTCTGATTGTTAATTTTGGAAGTTTTACACTATTAAGTTTTAATCCTCTTTTAGACTAAAAGCAGAATTGTAGGGAGACACCATAACCACGCCTCCCAAGGGCTGGCTACAGGTGTGCTTAACCACCACCTCTCAGGGCGTGGTCAGGGGATGTTGAGGATGATGCCTGGGGGGTTCTTAAGGTTCGGCAGACATGTGGGAGCGCTCTTGCTCTGGCATCCCTATCTTGCTGCTTCTGGGCACACTTTGGCTTGCCCTTGACCAGTATTATTTGAATAAAGATATCTTAACCTGCAAGCTCATGTCACATGTGAAACCCACAGAAACAGCTGACCTGAACAAGGAGTGCACATGGACCCGAGACTGATGTCTGGGAGGCCTGCATGGGACTGATCCAGACCCCTGAATGTGGATGTCAGTGAGGAGTCCTCTGCACTCTATGGGACCTCTGATAGTAGATCAGTATTTATCCCTGGCATAAGAAAGGAATTTGGGAGCCCATCCCACATGGAGAGATGCTCTCTCAGCCTGGAAACATGGGGGATGGCCTAGGCCCTGCCCAGGATGATATACCAGTCTTTGGGGATCCCCAGTGGAGGACTTTACTCTTCCTGGGTAGCAGAGAGGGTTTAGGTGGGGGATTGGTGAGGGGTGGGTGTGGAGGGGATGGAGAGGGAGCAGAAATTGACATGTGAAGAAAGCTTGTTTCTAATTTGAACTAATAAAAAATTTCTTGGAAATAAAAGAAATACTATTAGAACAGGTGAGATTGTTTTAATGCATATTTGATGAGTTCCAGGATCTACTTTCAGGAGTCATTGGTGAGTGTATATGTCAAGAAGAATTAGAATGCCAAATGTATTATTTTGGAGGTAGATACATGTGCCATAGCAGAGACATACACAATTATACCTGTACATAAATAGCCTCTTCATGTCTTAACTTCCTCAGCAGCCTCTACCACTTCACAAAATGTCTAGTCTCAGGAAGCTTCCAAATGGTTCTTGTTTGACTCATCTGTACATTGTACTCATATTTTGTAGTATCTTAAAATATAGATATACCAACTAAGAAAAGTATCAAGTGCGTATATTTCTTTGGGAAACTATGATGCTTCCAAGAGGAACATTTCATATGATGACATCTCACACCCAGCAATGAGTTTTTAAGTTCCCTTGGCTTTCAGGATCACCATTACATAAAAACACAGTCTAGTTACTTCTGAACCACTATTTTCTCTTTACACATAATTTCAAATTGGCTTACAAAGGATTCAGTTTCCTTTCATTTTTTTAACACACCCTTTTCTTTTCCACTTGAAGCTCCCATTCTGACCTCCATTCCTGTCTAAATTTAGTATCATAAACAATACTCCTCTATTTTCACAAGACCTTTGTTCTCCTTTCCCTCCCTACGACCACAGTACACCACATGGACCTTTTTTTAAAACTTTCTTTTCATTTACTAATAAGGTACATTGGGATGACACAAAAATATAGAGAGATTACATAGCATGAATGTTTCTGTGGCTGGGCTAGCTCCCACCACCATTCACTGACCCAAGGAAACATGCAGACACTATATTAATTATAAAGCTGTTGGCCGTTGGCTATGGTTTCTTATTGGCTAGCTGTGACTTAATTAGTAACCCATTACTACTAATCCATTTATTCCTCCATAATCTTGTCTTTCCAGACCTGCAATTTCTTTGCCTGCTAAATGATGACACCTGGCTCAGGATCTCTGCAGATAAGAGAAGAGAGTGATTTCTTGTTTGCCTCTGCTCATATTCTGAATGTCCACAGCTATGTCACTTCCTGCCTGGCCAATCAGCCAATCAGTGTTTTATTTATTAACTAATAAGAGAAACATATACACAGAAGGACATTCCCCATCAAGATTAAAAGCATCTCCCCACCACATGGACCTCTTTTATGTTGTTTTCATTTACATATAAAGCATGCTATTGTTATGTCAACTTGATTCAAACTAGATTTATCTAAAATGCTGGAACATCAATTGAGAAAATGCCTCAATATAATCAGGCTGCATTTTCTTAATTAATGATTGATGTGGGAAGGCCAAACCCATTCTGGCTGATGGCATCTCTGGGCTGGGGTCCTGGATTCAATGAGATACCAGGATAGTCAAGCCATTCAAGGAAACTAGTAAGAAGCACCCCTCTGTGTCCTCTGCACCAGCTCCAGCCTCCAGGTTCCTGTTCTGTTTGAGTCCCTGTCCTGACTTCATTTGATGATGAGCAGCAATGGTAACTCTAACTAAAGCAATATCTACATATGAGAAAGAACACAGCACATTTATGTTTCTTAGACAGGATTACCTTGCATAGTATTTTTCATTTGTTTTATTCATTTACTCCCAAAAGATACATGATTCCATTTTTCTTCATATCTGAATAAAATATTCTATATGTTTCGACATTTTCATTATCAGTTTGGCAAATGAGCACCATATGGTTTGATTATATTAGCTTTTAATTATAAAGAGAGAAGCTGTGAACATGTTGAGCTGTTGAGCAAGTATCTCTATAGTAAGAGGTAAAATGTAGAATCTTGAGTATAAATATGGAGTGGTGATTCAGAGTTATGACTTTTGGAAGAGTAAGCAACTGGTCTCTGTTTGGTTTGAGGAACACTCCATAGGACACTATTCATACTTGGTACTCTATACCTCATAATAAACCTGTAGTCAAAGAGGTTATACCAGTAGCCAAATGATATTCTCGGACTAAATCAGAGAACTTTTGTTCACAATGAACATTGGTGAATTTTAGATATTCATAGCTGCTCAAATTTTGATAACAAATAAAACTTAATATTCAATGCTAAATAAGACACTCCTCCTGAGGCTCAAAAGTCATATCCAAAGAAGAGCTAAAAAGAACATAAATCTGGATGATAGAGAGAATTGCTGTGTGAAATTCTATCTTCAGGTTATTGGTCAACAAATGAGTTGATAACCTTATAACAACTATCTATGTGCAACTGGCCTACGCAACACTGAGCATATCAACTGTTGATATGGACATGAAACCATATTCATCACTGCTGATAGATTACTTGGAAGGGGCCGTTATGTTTTTTAGCCATTGAGAGGTCTACTGGACTTCAGCAGATAGTTCCAATTCCAGGGTTGAACAATTAATACATATACAACATATCTCTTGCATCTAAAGCTAAGGATTTATAATAGAAGAGGGTGGAAAATGTGTAAGAGCCATGGAACTGGAAGCTTGTTCTGAGATTTTATCTCCTAAAAATATCAGGAAAAAATATGACACACAATACCAAAACATAAGTAATGTTCAAGAGGAAATATATAGAGAGAGCATTGATAATGTGGTTTGGGTAAGAGTGCAGCATATTAAGGCTATCAGAATGCCCTGCATACATATATGTAATTGCCAAAGAGCAAGTAATAAATACTTTAAGATTTGAAGTCTGATGTAGGGTGTCGTTATATATGCTGTGAATATGTCTTGCTTTTATTGGTTGATAAATAGTGCTAATTTGACCTATGGCCACACAGAATAGGGCCAGGTGCGAAATCCAAACAGAGATAAAGAAAAAAGACAGAGTCGGGAGATGCCATGTAGACACCAAAGGGGTAAGATGCCAGAACATTCCTGGTAAGCCACAAGCACGTGGTGATACACAGGTTAGTAAATATGGATTGATTTTACTGTGAGAGCTAGTCAGTAAGAAGCTTGACCCATCATCCAAACAATTGCAATCAATAGTAACCCTCAGAGTGTTTATTTGGG